AAGGCACTGACACTGCAGGTACATCTAAACCTCTTCACTTGTTGAAGCCCTGTACATTCACAAGGATAACAAAGAGCTTACAGCACAGAAACATCAGCGTTGAGCACCAGAGGCAGAAGAAAAAAAAAAGCAGCTGATATTCTCATTTTTCAGACTTCTCCTCAGCACTCTTACCCTGGATAAACACTAATTACCATCACACACAGACACATCACTGAAGTACCACCATTAGTTCACACATGCTGTAGCTCTTTTTTTGTTGCAGCAAAGGAGCAGTTACACTTAGCTCTTGTGTGCAAGGCTGAGAGAACTTGAACTCCTTAATGTGAAGGTATTCAATCAGTTCTCCTACAAAGGCACGTGAGCCGCTAATGCTTCTTATTTTCTGTACCCCTGCTAAGGTTATGGTACTTTAAGTACAGCAACAGTAGAACATGTTAGCAAAGACAGTCTTGGAGAGGGGTGCAGCCCCAGTGTTACTACCTGTGAATTCTCCTGTAGGCATCTTGCTCTTCCTGGCAAAGGATCTTGGGCAGCTCTACAGCTGATTCCAGACACACTTTCCCAATGGTTTCATGGGGGACAACATGAATAGGAATTTCAATCCTTTCGTATCTAAAAGGGGTATCAGGTACAATTAACTTCAAAGCAGCAGAGAGAAAAAAAGGACTTCTACAAACCTGCAACAGTCTGTCCAACACATGGCATTGCTGCAGGTTTATTTTTGGGAACACATGCCTGAGTTGATAGGCAAATGGAAGCCTTTTATAGCCACACACTTGTCTTAAATTTTAATGATAAAATGCTAAAGCAACTAGACGGCCAGTACTGACAATATGATGCACAGCGTGTGTGCTGTTGGTGGGGACTTGAAGGTTCAACCTCTAGAGTTGAAAGCAAAAGGGTGAGCCTTCTACACAACAGATTACAGAACAAATTCATACTCAGACCACAGTGTCCTACACCAAATCTTAAGCTACTAAATTATCTAGGCTAAATTAATCAGTCCCAATCTTTAGATTCTCTTCAAGCAGCCTGCATTAGCAGAAGTAAGGTGACCTCGTTCAGGCATCTCTTTTGCTCCTCACAATGAGCCTAGAAGACACTTATTTGAAACAACCCAGAAAGACAAGATGAAATACAACCTGACGCTGGACATAATATTCTTCTGCTGTACTCACTCTGAGCTCTTCTGGGCCTGAATGGACTGGAAACAGGTGTAGAGAATCCTGCCTGTCTAAGAGAGACAGCAGAAAGTCAGATTCCAAGAGCAAAAAATCATCTAAAATCACACATTCCTTTAGGAAGTAGAATATGCTTTCAAATAGCACTTTAACAGGTTGCAAAGGTACATGCTTTTTGCTTAGATTGGTATGCTGGAACTGTTTACAAGCAGATATTGACAGACCCATTAACTATGAAAAAAATCTTAAACAATAGCTACCTGGAAAACCTAGACAAGACACACCACTGTCAGCTTATCTCACACTATAGCAGCATCTCCTAAAGAGGCTAGAGGCACAGAGGTGCAATAAGCCGTATCTGCTGGACTGAACAGCTGAAAGGCACTCACGCATTTCAATGCACACACATGCTGCAGCCATCTGATGCAGTCCCAGAACCCTAGTACCAACCCAGCTCTGCTGGCTGGAGAGCCAGGCTGTGGATCAGCAGAGAGTAATTAATAACTCGTTCTTTTCTCATTGGGATTACGATCCAAACATCACCATTCTAGCTGTGCTTTGACTGTGCTCCAACCAGAGCTCAGCCCTTCTTGCAGGCTGTATCCAAGGATTTCAGCTTTGCCCTGGGGCTGATGTTTCTCATGGGTACTTGGACAGCTTATTGCCATTTTTAAGTTGCCTACCTTTGTGTTTTTGTCCTCAATGAAGCAGGAAAAGATAAGCCCTACAAAACCTTGGTCCATCATCTGATACATAGCTTGTGTGCGGACATCTGCAGACAAAGAAATAAGAGAATGAGAACCGCACTGATCACCTGAAGGAGTGGAAAAAGATTTGCCACCTTTTGAAGGGTGACCTGGAATTTGGCAACAAATGTCACAAGCTTTATTTTAAAGTGCTTACTCCAGGTGACTAAGTTAAAAAAAAAATTGATCCAATTTAAAATGTAATTAAATAGCAAATCTTAAAAATACAAGATGAGTTAACAAAATAAGAAATGACCTTAGCATCAACCTGGTGCCACAGATACTATATAGCCGTAATGTCCAACACGTGTAAGATGCTCATGCACTTCTTTCAAAAAAGTTTTCATTTTTGCATTAACACTCACAGATGTCAAAAATCATTACAGCAGGCCTATGATTCCCACAGGTGGTTTTTTTTTTTTGCTATTCCCAACACCCTAGGTCTAGTTTTCCTGTCTGGAAGAACAGTAGTACTAGTAGTAGTACTAGTAGTACTAGTAGTCACTGATCTGTGACTACTGAGTCACGTGCAGTTTGAGCACCTGGAGCACACAGACAGGAATGGGGCTATACTGGCAGAGGGTCCTGAAGCACACCCAGACAATCTTGTCCTACCAGAGGACGTTTGAGAAACCAAACTTTGATAGTTGGGATGTGCAGCTCTGAAAATCCAGTAAGTTGAGTAATACGATTAGCTAGCTGTGAGTTTTCATATAGAACCTAGACCAAGACTGCTCTTACCAACATGTGATGGCCAAACAGTAATATGAGGATGAGAGTGATACCAGCCCACAACTCTCATGGGACGTCCTGTCATTTCAGCCAACCTGTGTGTGAGTCAAGGTGCTTTTGAAACCAATAGAGCAAATAGAAGAAGTTTTTTGTACAAGGGAAAACAGCAGAGTTTTAAAAGAGCTTTGTTTTTTTTTTAAAAAGAGTATTCTCATCAGTCAAGAGAATTCCAAATCCTTTTTAGAGAGGTGACAAGACACATGGCAGGAAGCTGTTGGAAGCCTCTTCCCCAGCACTGGCAGGATGTCACTGCTGCAGAAGCAAATCGGATTTTGTTTGCATGTGGCAGTAAGCAACATGGCAGCAAGCTGTCCAAAACAGCATCCTTGAGT